CAATAGACCCTGATAAAATGGGAGAAAAACACAGAGCAGAACTCAATTCTTTAAAAGCGGCTTAAAACCTACCACTAGGCTGAAACCCAAACCAGAAACCAACCCACTGGCATCTCGCTGATTATGATTCATGTTGTTGGTACGTGCCGTTGAGTTGGTTCTGACACATAGTGAACCTGTATAGAATTTCCGAGGAGTGGCTGGTAGGTTTGAACTGCCGACCTTGTGGTTCAAACCACTGTATGGTCCAGTGCTTATGCTACAGCACCACACCAGGATTCTGATTCAGGGTTTCCTACATGGTTTCCAAGACTGTAAATCTTTATGGAAGCAGACAGCCGCATCTTTCTCCTGAGGAACAGCTGAGCCTGGTGGGTTTGAACTGCTGGCCTTGTGATTGTCAGTCCAGAGTGCCACCAGGGCTCCTAAGTAGCTGATGTTGTTTCACATCCTAAGCTCCTAAATTGATGTTGTTTCACATCCTAAGCTCCTAAGTAGCTGATGTTCATTTTGCTTGTGGTCCTCTTACTAAAGTCTTACCATGGACTTACCTAGGGACCTTGAGCAAATCATTTGCCTGTGCTGAGCCTTGCTAGTTTCCTTTGTAACAAGGCAGAATTATCTTACTCGATGCAATTTGGGAGATTTCAATGGGACAGTCTCTCGGGGGTCCTGAAAAGCCCTTCTTCCTTTAGTACTGATCCAGATGCATGAAAGTTTTGTTCCAAGGCTACTCTCTGGCAGACCTGGTAAAGCTCTTCGGCTTCAGCCCTGTGGCCCCAGAACAATTCCCATCTTTATTACTCTTGGCCCTGAAGCAAAGTGGGTTTTAACCACTAAAGGAGCCCTTTGCTCCTGCAGGCTTCACCTGACAAAAGCCGCTTTCACTGCTCCAATCTTCCCTAGGTTTCTTTGTGGTCCCAAACCCTGACTGGAAATGCCTGAAGCCCACAAAAGGCCTGGCAACTAGTTGGCCAAGTCTGGGATGTTGACAGAGAGGAGCAGAGGGGCAGATGCAGGGAGGGCCCCTGTGAGTGCATCATGTCCCCTGACTTCCCCATTACCTGTACCTTCCTTGTACCTTGTGTCTTACAGAAGTTCAAAGAATACGTGAATGGAAGTAACCTCATCACTAAGCTGCAAGCCAAGCATGACCTACTCAAACAGACCCTGGGTGAAGGTAAGTCCAAAAGGGGGCTCTGAGGAGCCGCTGCAGCTCCAACTGGGTGGTTTGGGGTGACCCTTCTAGCTGTTTGACACTTGGAAGAATGGGGTCTCACACCCTGAGACAGATACTGAGAAGGGTCCAGTCTGGCTATAGACAACATGGGACAGTGACAGTCTTATTTTAGGTTATAGGGAAGGGTCCAAGGCAAAGAGGCAGAGAAAGGGGTCTCTGACAGGCCAGGAGCTTGGGGTTGGATCCAGGACACAGAGGTCAGCCTGGACAATTTTCACCTGCTTGCCAGGAATACTGTTGGAGTGCCTAGGTAGGATCCTAGGTCCAGAGAAGGAAAATCCTAGTGTAAGCCAGGGTCCTATCATTGCAGGACTTAACAGTACCTAAAGGCTTCTAGTTACCATTGGACTAAAATCCCCGTTAGAATAAAATACAGTTGAAAAAATTTTAAATATTTCTCGTGGTACACAAGACCTCATATCATCTGGCCTCTGTTTCCCCACCCCACCCCCAGCCACTCCCCCACCTTCCTCACTCCCCAACCAAACCGAGCTCCTTTCTGCCCTTTAAAACTGGCTAACCCAGGGCTTTTGCACTTGCTGTTCTGTCTGCCTGGAATGCTCTTCCCTAAGACCCTAACATTCCATTCTCAGCGCTGGTGTCGCTGCCTCAGAGGAAGTCACCAGCTCTATCCTCATATTCTCTCTCTGTCTGATTTTTTTTCAACTCACTTACCATGGGAAATCACCTTCATTATTTGTTCACTTGCCTATTGTCTTTGGTCACTGCTACCTCCAATAATATTACCTCTTCAATTAGAATAGGGACTTTCTTGTTTAATTTGTTTCCCACTTTATCTCCAGTGTCCAAAATGGTGCCTCACTCAGAGTAGGCACTCAGTTAACACTTACTGAATGAGCGGTGGATGGTGTAGTCTCCCGGGTACCAAAGTCAGAGCTAGTCACCTGAAGACATGGAGGTCCCAGAACCTGGTGTAAGACTCAGCTGTGAGGAGAGGAGCTCAGCAAGGTTTGAACTAGGGTTTCTGAAGCCTCAGAGCCCTGCTCAAAGCACCTTTAACCTCATCTCCAGCTCTAGTCTTGTGTCCCATGTGGAGAGGACTGTACTGAAGGCTGTGCTTCATCAAAAAGAAAGAAAACATTGGGTCCAGGATAGAGGCACCCAACATGAGAGATGAAGGGAATGACCAGGTTGGTGCCAGTACATCCCAAGATGACAGCTTGAAGCCGGCCTGGTGGTGGTGGCCATGTGCCGTGGAGTCGATTCCAACTCATAGTGACCCTGTACAGGGTTTCAGAGGCTGGAAATCTTTACGGGAGCAGAACGCTTCATCTTTCTTCCACAGAACAGCTGGCAGTTTCAAACTTCTGACCTTGTGGTTCACAGCCCGATTCATAACCACTATGCTACCAGAGCTATCACCAATGTTTATTGGGGATGGAGGAGGGTGACAGGAAGGGAACTGAACTGGGGGTGTGAGGAATTTGTTAGCTGCTGGGTGTTAGCTGTTGGGTGTTAGCTGTGTGGAAACTTTCCTTGCTGTCTTGTTGAACTACTTTCCTCTCCCTGCTAGGTGCACATTCTGGTGGCTGTGCTCTGGCCATGCAAATCAGCACTGACATTTGTGGATGTTCAGTGTTTGTGAGCTCCATGCTCTAGAGGATACAGTGGGAAATTCAACCTTTCCCACTTCCGAGGAACTTACAGAAGAGAAAAGGATGTTTGTGCTAACAAGTATGACATATATAAATTAGCAACAATACTGAAAATAGCCCAAACACAAGTATATGGCCCCTTGTTTATCTGTCTAGGCACATATGGAGTCCTGATGTGGCGCTGTAAGATAAGCACTGCACTGTGAACCAAGGTCAGCAGTTCAAACCCACCAGCCACTCCTTAGAGCTGGGTCACTATGAGACAGAAGCGGCTTAGCGACACTTATCAACAATAACAACGTAAATATGTATGTCTTACTACAGGTATATGCCTATAGGTACAAATAAAAGTATCTATATGTATGTGTACCTACTGTTATGTGTGTGCAGGCATATGTATTCAAAAAGGATACAGTTACAGATACTTCTAGACAGAACCAAAGACCTTGTGAGATTGGTATTCTGAATTTGGAGGTTTAGGACTGTAATCTCATGGGACAGCTCAGTCAATTGGAATAATGATAGTTCACAAAGTTCATGTTCTGCATCATAGTGAGGTGAGCAACGTCTTGGGTCTTAAAAGCATACAAACAGCCATCTGTTGTTGTTGTTGTTAAGTGCCGTCGAGTCGATTCCGACCCATAGCGACCCTGTACAGGGTTTCTGAGGGTGTAAATCTTTACGGGAGTAGAAAGCCTCATCTTTCTCCCGCGGAGCGGCTGGTAGTTTCGAACCGCTGACCTTAAGGTTCGCAGCCCGATTCGTAACCACTACGCTACCAGAGCTCCTTTCTAAGATATAATTATTGTTCTCTACTCAAGAGCTAAAAAGAAAGAAGAAAAGCAAAATTCAAAGAAGAAATTCATCCACTAAGCTACTAGACTATACATGAACCACTGTCTCATCTCTCCTGAAACCAGAAGAACTAGATGATGCCTGGCTTTTGCTACCACTTGTTCTGATCAAGGCCACAATAAATGGGCCCTGATAAATGAGAGAAAAATGCAGAACAGAAGTAAATTCTTAAATTGTCCTGACTTATTGGACAAGTTGTAATTCGATGACTCACTGAGACTATTACCCTGGGATAGATTTTAAACTATTTGAAACTGTTACCTGGAGTCACCTTTTAGCAAATAATAGATTTGTTGTTGCTTGTAAGTGTCATGGAATGAGTTCTCACTTCCAGCCACCCTGTATAGGGTTTCTGAAGCTGTAAATCTTTGCAGGAACAGAAAGCCTCACCTTTCCTACTCACACAGCGTGGCTGATGGGCTTGAACTACCAACTTTGTGGTTAGTATCCAGTGCTTATCCAATAGAAAATAACAGATAGGCACACAAAATAAAGGATATTACCCATGAGAATGGTGCTTGACTAAAAAGCATCCATATGAGGTCAATAATTACTGTAAAGCCAAGATGAGAAGGGGGCAGGGAGACTAGAGCACTGGAAACAACCACCAGAACAAAATTCAAGAAAATATTGACCCAGTGTGGAAAAGTCATTAATGTCACTGAATACTTTGGGTAGAAATTGTCTAATGGGGTTCTAATTTGCTGTGCAAACATTCTCTGAAAACAATAAAATATTACTTTTAAAAGAAATGGAGAGGGAAAGAGAAGGAGAGAGAAAGGCCACAAAAGGAGCTCAGAGTAAGTGTCTGGTGGGGCAGCTTCCAGGACAAACATTGAAATAGAGAACTCATTTTCCATCCATAGGGTTGAGGGCTGGAGACTCACATGATCCAGGTAACAGAAGACAGGCCCATATAAACTGGTGGCTACTTGAATTTTTGAAACTATTTGCCTTGAAATGATGGAGCCAGTTGTTCTTTCAAATAATAAAGTATAAATGAGTCCTCCTTCCGAGAAGACAGTGCTTCTCTCAACGCCACCATGAAGACTTTCAGGTGCAACTTTTATTACCGTATTTCCCTTGATGGTCTTAATGGAAACGTGATAATGATTAGTTTGGGTTGGCAAAACTCCTGGCCCATTTTGTCTTCCAAGTTTATTTAGCCTTCAGCCACACTTTGCTCTGAGAACTTTTGAGCTGACTAGCACCAAAAATCTCCAAGAGAATGCAGCTTCAAAAGTGTGAGTGCAGCTAAGAAAATCCCTGAAAAGAGATTTTTCTGTGTGCTTCTTTGGAGAATTGGAATCAGCCTTGTCAGATGAGCCAAGAAGGTTGTTTTTTGTGTTTGTTTTTGTTTTTAACACACTTCAGGGTAAGCACTGTACAACAAGGTTGTTATGAACCACAAGTTTGGTGGTCCAAACTTTCCAACCACTCCTCAGAAACCCTATACGGGGTCACTATGAGTTGGAAGCGACTCAGTGGCACTTAACAACAACATTATTAACAATGGACTCATGGCATGGCGCTGTAGGGTCAGCATTGGCCTGCTAATCACAGGTTTGGCAATTTAAACCCACCAGCTGCTGCTCCTCAGAAACCCTATGCAGGGTTGCTATGTCGGAACCAACACTTAACAACAACAATGTTAAAATAATTTTAGATTTACAGAAAAGTTGCAGATATAATACGGGGTTACCATATGTTCCACACTCAGCTTGCCCTGTTATTAACATTTTACATTAATGCGGTATATTTGTCACAACCAGCTAGACAGCATTTAACAACAACAGTGGATATGTAGATATTTATTAATTGTGACAAATTAATGAATATGTAAATATCCATTAATTGTGACAAATATACCATATTTCCTTCATTTTTCCTAAATCCCTTTTTCTTTTCAGTATTCTATTCAGAATACCATTTTGTTGTTGTTGTTAAGTGCTGTCAAGTCAGTTCCGGCCCATAGCAACCCTATAAAAAGTTTCTGAGGAGCAGCTGGTGAGCTTGAACCACCGACCTTGCAGTTCAAATGGCTTTACAGTCTGGCGCATTAACCCACGGCACCGCACACACATTTAGTTGTGGTGTTTTCTTGGGCTTCTCTTAGGTATACCAGTTTCTCAGGCTTGTCTCTTTTTTTTTTTTTTTTTTTTGGCTGATATTATTGAGCTTTTCCACCTCTTTCCACAGGTATATTCAATTTCATTCCTGTTTATTCCGTGTGGTGAGGTCTCTACATATAGTCATTTATACTGTCTTAAAAAGATAACTTCAATCAGTAAGCCATTGCAACATTCTATCATGGGATCTCCAGCTTCATTTCTATCACCAAGGTCATATTTTCAAAGTACTGACCCCTTTCTCTTTGTTTCCAACCTTCACATTCCAATCACCAGTAATTATCAAAAACACCTTAATGGCATGCTTGATCAATTTCAGACTGAAGAAGTTGGTAGAATT